AGCTGATTCGAATGGTGGTGGTTTCATCGAATTCTGTCTAGTGGTTCAAGAGTTATGGTCGTTTTTGTAGGTTAACAAGATATTCTAACTTAATCATTAGTAACAATTGCTATAATACAAATATTATATAGGTGATTATTCAAATTTTCATTGTCAATAGGATTTGAACACCTAACATACTATTTGAAAAGTTGACAATCTAACTACTTCACTAGGTTACCACATCTTTTCTCCTAAACATACTTATATTTTATAATATAGTTTTGTATTTAAATTAATAAAAAAAATTTTTTTTATATTAAATTATATATATATATATTTTTTGATATTAAGGTAACCTCTTTGATCTTTTGACTTTTATTAATCACTTATCAGTATTGTGGTTCAATAAACTATTACAGAAGAACATATAATTGGCTATATATATAATTTTTCTATATTACTTATTTAAAAGAAGTCTGCCTAAAGATTTTTCACTAATTGTTGTATCTAATACCTCTGCTTGAGTGTTCTACTTTAAACCTTTTGAACCTGTAACCTGTATTAACTCACTAGGTTATATCCAGATGTCCAAATTATCATCTTAACCTTAAAACTAATTTATCCTCAAGGTAAATCTCACAAAACTTTCTGTACCTATTTTTATAACTGATCTAGATATCACTATAGCAAAATTAATACTTGTGGTCAGAACTGATTATTAAACTGCTATGTCTTTGTAGAATTCACTTAAACCCTAACATCTACTTCATAGCATAATTTGGTACTTTAGCATACCTCTGTTTTTTCCCCTAACTTTTTACCAAACTCCCAATCCAGATAGTCCATATAGGACTACAATCAGTTTATTAGTATATCGGATTGGTCTGATATCCTTTTTTTTCAGTTCATTTTGGCAGCCTGGTTGGTAGTATTCTCAAGACTTCCAACCCAGAGGTTCTTGCCTGTCTGGCTATTATAACTGAGTACTAGACCTTGGTATTTGTTTTCTTGAGCTAGCATTACAGTAGGACTATCAAAAATTCAGTTATTTCTCTATTTAGGTCTTCTCAAATAAACTTCTTGTTACCTAATTTCAACAGATTTACATGACCACAAGGACTTATCTAGCATTTGCACCACCCAATTTGTTGGTTTGTATTTCTTTGTATAACTCTAACATTGCACAGATGCCCCATAACCTGCCAGTCATGCTGGTGCAACCATAATTACAGGTATCCTAACCTAATTGTTAGTAACAGTTGTCCTAATACAAATATTACATAGGTGATTATTCAAATTTTCAACATCAATGAGATTTGAACACCTAACCTATCACTTGAAGAGTTAACAACCTGACCACTTCACTAGATTGTCATACCTTTATTAAATTATATTTTAATATATCTAAAATAACATATTATTTACTAAAATCTTTTCTTGTTTTTTGAAACTAATCTACTATAAATTTTGATTTCTTTACTGTATTTTTTTCTAAAATTATAATGAAGAAAAGATTATTTTTATCAATAATATTATAATTTTTTTAAATATTTTTTTAACTAATTTTTTTTCAATTAGAACATCTAATATTAGAACTAAATCTTCATTAGTCATTTAGATAAATAACATAATATAAAAAATCTAATTATACTTATAATGTCAAACATCTCAAAATTAAATACCTAATAATAAACTAAAAGTTTGATATATATTATATTCTGAAAAAATATACCTATATGTTTTTTTGTTAATAAATATATATATTAAATATTGCTTGAAAAATCCTAAATATTGACCTTTCATACATAGAAACTTAATTACTTGTTTTTCAATTTTTCAAAAAATAAGAAAAAATCATTTGTAAATAACATATACTGGCATTTCTTTCCATATATTAATAACATTTTTAGACAAAAAATATGATTAAAGAAGTGGTATTTTATAATTACTATATATAACATATTCATGTTATGAAAGTTTTGCTAAGAATTTGTATTGTTTTTTTTTACAAATAGTATATTTAAAAGATTTACTATGTGTTGATCAAAACATTGAAAAAACTTTGCTTATTATATAAAAAATATTATTAGTGTATTATATATGAAGTAAGTTATATTCTTGCTATAACCTCTATTTTCTTTACTTGCTATACTTTTGCATAACTCAGTTCATTGGTTTGACATTAGAACTAAATATAAATTTTTAATTTTTAGTGACTAAAATGAAAATTTTTGAGGCCTTTTTGTGATTATCAAATATAATTTAGGGTGCAAATTTTAGGCTAAAATACACATATTGGCTGATACGTACTGTTTCAGTAGAAGATTAGTTAATGTGTTTAATATTGATGGTTAATTTTAGCGGTGGGTAAATTAGTAGTTTAAACCATAAATAAGCTAATGAGTGTTTACGTTTGAATAATGATAAAGATTTCAACTATGAGTGGATTCGAGATTTTGTAGTGTAAGTTCGTGACTTTAACGTGAATGTTCGTTTCAGCAGTACAGTTTCATATACAAGATGTGACAATTATGATCACGTTGACCAGTCGGGTAATATATTTTGGGACCGCAACACTTTTCTTTCTTCTGTAAGCCATACACTTCGTGATTTTCAACACTCCGTTCCTGGTATTCTAAGCATTTTATAAGCTACTAACCTCATAAATGTTTATTAGTTTATTCGCTTAAATAGTGTGGATAGAAGTTCTTTGCATTCAAATTTAAGTGTTGCATAAGGAAATTATTTACTTGATAAATCAAATTTTCACCGATAACTGTCTAGAATTTGGTTAGTATTTATGCCATGAATTGTTGTAAGTTACGGCAAAAAACAAATCATAACCCATTACAATTAACAAATTTATAGCAATATTTCTGTACGTTAAAGTTTGACATACTTAAATTCAAAGTTCACTTTTTAAATCTTACATGCAGATATTTTCCATTCCTTAGAATAATAAAAAATCACAATATTACAAATTTATATAGAACTATGCATATGCATGATTTTATTGAATAATCGATCATACATCGCACATTCTAATAGCAGCAACAAATACATTTCTTAAATACAATACACCATCTTGGTTAATAAGTTAAAACAGTTACAAGGTATTATCAATATATATATATATATATAATATATTATACTCACTAATTTGTATTAATAAATATAGATGGTGTCCAGTGTATCGATGGTGTAACAGAAAATATTTTTACCTTTTGTGCATATGTTCTAAGCTTGTCTGGTGATTTCGTTTCTGGTTTTGCGTGACAAAGTCGAGTAGCTTTTGAGTGATTTAGATGGGACTAGAGTTGCTTGCTGCAAAGTCGCAACTTAAACTTTACAGCTTATTCATGTTGTAATGATTACAAAAAGGTCATAATTTATTAGATTAAGATGGTTACATCTATTGCGACAATAAGTTGCAACCCTAGTTGCGCTATAAAAATTCGCAATTCATATTTGCAGCAAGTAACACTAGATGGGACTGAACGATGTGGGAGAAATTTGATCGATTGGTACCTAATCGGTCCCATCTAAATTATTCAAAATCTAATACAAAATTTAAAACCTATATTAGTTACAGGTATAAAAAAATAAGTTTTTTTAAAACTTTACTTATTTACCAAAGATCTGTTAAAAATGCTCAAAATCGGCTCACAGTTGCTGCGGGACCGATTAACATCCCCAATTTTTTAAAACTACAAAGGTCAACAAGCATATTCAACTTATGTATATTATTACCTATTTTTTTTTTATCAAGTCGGTACACTTTTCAAAACAAAAATTACAGTTAATTGACTCTCTGTGGCTGTACCACCAATAACTAATTGAATTCGAACAATTGCAATTAATTGTCCTCACGATCAATTATTCGGTAGGTCTGCTTTCTATTGGAGTTACATCGTGATCTGTAGAGGTCGCAAAGCGCAATAAAACAATGCGGACAGACGTCTTTAAAAGTTTAATTCTGATCTTATGTTTCTTTTTGATTTATCGAAATAAATTTAATGATTTATAGGAAGTAAACATACAAATATTATGAAATTATCTCAAACATTTTCATTTAATATTATTTTCATAAGAAATTTAGCATGGTTTGTTTTTCTTAATATTAGGAATTATAAAAGCTAATCGACTCCAGGTTCAGAATTGATCTCATCCTTAGTTGATCTTTATTATTAAAGATTCTTAAATAGATACGTTTAAAATTAAGTTCATTCAAATTTGCTTAGCACTTTTAGTTTTCTAAGCAACCATTTCTTTCCCTTTCTTCGTTGTAGTTCTTCTAGCTTAAGCATTTCTTGCAGCATTAATTCTTCTCTAACTTCCTGTAAAATTATACCGAGTCTATTGCGTCCATTACCTTTTTTACCTCCATCGCCCCAATAAAGATCATTATCAGTGTGTTCGAATAATGAAGCATTACTCGTAGAAAGTAACTTATACAATAAGTTTTTATGTTGGGAGAATTTCTCAAGAATTGCATTTTTCATAATAATTTCTTTAAAGATTTTATCAGTTGGTGGCTTTGGAGATTCCCAATCTTTACGTTTTAGCTTATCATTATTTCTAGCAATGTTGAATGCATCACGAGCACTTAAAGCAAGGCGAATTTTATTCTGAAGTGATTCAATCTCAAACTTTTGAGCCTGGACTATTATAATTAAATTTATTTAGAATTATTTTAGCAAAAATATGCGTGAACGTTTAGAGATACTTAACAATAACTTTCAGATGTTTTCCATTCTTTATAATCAATTCGAATAGGAGCATGAAAGAAATTAGTGAATTCGTAATAAGGCTCCTTTTTATTGTAAAAACGAATTTCATCGCTAGCATTCCTGTCGATCATGAGAGTTCTGTGAGTATTCTAACGAAAATTAGCCGTAATATAATTAATTAATATTTTGGATTAATGAAATAAATTATAAATAAATGAATGAAAACTTAATTTACAAAAAGAATATTGAGTCCTTCAGAAGGATAAGAGATTAGAGCAGTGGGAGAAGCATTTGTATGAAAATTTTTAATATAATTATTGTTTTCTTTATCCTCATTAACACTATTTTCATTATTTTTTGGTTGGATAATAACAATATCCAAAGTTAGATTGTCACAAACTTTACGGATTTCGCGTATGAATCTAGTAATTTCTTCACAAAATCTAGAGTGGGAAGACGCTATAACGACGATTTTCCACCCGTTTGCCCAGCAATTCAGTGCATAATATTGGACATAATCGATTGCAAACGAATTTGAGTCATCGGAAAAGTCACGAAAAATTGGATGAAAACCAAATGTGTGAAATTGGTCATCGTCCAAGTCAAAAATCGCATCTTTGCTAAAAGAAATAAAGAGTGCAATCGAACGAATCTTTATATTATTGAGTGATAGTTTTTTGCTAAATTGTGGGGCTGTATAAATAAACATTTAATTTCTTAACTTTAAATTTTTATTTAGATTAGCAAAAATACCAACCGAGCGCAGGATTCATGATAATAAATTCACAATCTTCGTCTTCAAATAGAAACTCTTTCGACTGTTGTTGTAAGCACCTGTTACTATTACAGAATAAGTTTAATAGCTTTCTCATTATTAAAAAGATATTCCAATTAATTATAGAAAATATTTCCGAGATTTTGAATATTAATCTAGGAAAAAATTAACATGACGAAATCAGAAAAACATATATCTGACTTTAACTTGATCATGTTTGTGTCATCAGTGTATAATTAGCTTTTCATAAATATTTTAAATAAACTTTTTTGTACGTCTGCAGTGAACGATACTGAGCCTAGTCAATTTTATTACTAAGAAATGTGAATTACTTGAGTGAAACGTAAGCATTTCTAGTTTATACTAATAATGAATATCAAGGAAGACTATAGATATTAAACTTTTGTTCTTTATTTGTAAAAGAAATTCGAACATTAATAAATAATTTCTCACTTATAATTAAGGGTAACATTTGCCACGAGTTAAAAGTAATATGCCATAAAACAAACCTAACTACGCCATAAATCTTGTGATTAGAGAATTAAAGACGCCATCACGATCGAGGCAAGGAACTTTCGGTTATAGGTTAGGCTTGTCGGCCGAATTGCGATAAACAACATAGTGAAACCCAAAAATCCGGAGAAGTGGGAGAAAAACTTCTAATAAATAATAGAAAGAATCTTTGTCAATGTAAAAACCTTATCTATTACACTAGAATAATATACGTAACGTTAGTAAAGTCGATTTTGCATTCAAAAACCTCATACACATTTTAAAGCAGTAAAAGTTATAAAATCTGTAGTTTCACTGTTGTAAAAGAATAAGAATTTTCGGATTAAAATTCCAATAAGATACAAACCATAAAACCCTAACCGTTTTAAAGAAAATTAAATCACTTCTGGCAAATTGGCAAATTTGCTTGCCTTATAAACTATATTTGTCTTTTTTTAAGTTCGTGTTAATTCCGTTCGTGACACAATGAAGATATCATGACGTAATTAGTGTTGATATTTTAGCTACACTAAATACAGTAATATCGATATTGAGATTTCATAGGGCTTAACGTTAAATCCTGTGAATATCCGACCAAGGGCAATTAGTGATGGCTTTCATAGGAATCGTCTGATTGCTAATAAATTCAATTTTACACATTATTTATACAGTTTAGAGTACTTTTTAAAAAAACGAAAACCAACCATAATAAAGTAACAAAAACTATATAAAAGGTTTCATTAGAGCTGTAGGACTCCATAGTCAAAAATACGATCTAATTCTCATTCGTTTAAATAAATTTTCCTTAGTAATAAGTTGATTTATTGGGTTTTGATAAGTTATTACTATATTAACTTTTTTAAACGGACAAGAATTAGATCTTATTTTTGGCTATGGAGTCCTACAGCTCTAATAAAACCTTCTAGTTATTGTTACTTTATTATGGTTGGTTTTCGTTTTTTAAAAAGTACTCTAAACTGTGTAAAATTGAATTTCTTAGCCAATCAGACAAACTTCTGCCTATGAACAGGGCTTAGAAAATATCATACCGATACGCTTGGATTTATTAGAAAAAATTGATTCTTAATAAATTATTAAATGCGACAATTAAGTATCACCTATTTCTAACACCTGTAGTCCCATTTCTGGAGGCAATAATTTAAACTATTTTAAACTTTCGCTTCTACCCAATCATAAAATTATTGGGAAGAGAAAAATGCAAATTTCAGATACCTGCCCATAAGTTATCCGACTAAATATATTGAAATAACTAAAATGCAGTCGACTCTACCCTTATGTAACAAGCATACCATATAGAAACTTTTCTATCAATTTTATTATAATTCAGTATATAACGCTTTAAAACTTTTACTATAAGAATTGTTGTAATGAGAAATCATAGTAATCAGAGTGTATATTATTGATATTTTCCAATTTAAAAATTTTGCATGATAATTATCGAGAAATAAATTCGAATGAAATCATTTATTTAAAGAACATTACGCTAGTATGTCCCTTTCATAAATTAACATGCGTTCAAATAAATCGACATTTAAACATGTTTTGCAATTATGAGATTCCCCAGATCATTAAAGGTCTTTCTTTAGGTATGAAATGTGACTGGAATACATATGAACTTTTCTGCTAATTTACTTAATATAGAAAAATTTAACTCTTGGCCATTTTACAGTAAGTACTTGGATTTTTTGCAATCCTGAATTTTATCATTAGTATCGGGTTCTTGAATAGTCTTGTTTTGATAACTATTAACCGAAGTATCGGATAGTTAAACTATATTCAAATACATATCCGTTATCTGATAAAAACGGATATCTGACAGCAAATCCGACGGATTTTTTGAACGGGTTCAAACACTAACCTTTCATATTTATGTGCCAGAAAGTCTTAATGAATCTATGCTGTAGTGCGTATTAAAAAATTGGAAAGTTGTCAAATGCCAGTTTTGAAATTGCTCCAAATTGATATAATTCTATATATTGAAAAAATAATTAAGTTCATCAATCAAGAACCTCCGATAGTAATATGTGACAAAGAAAAAGGAAGTTGTGAATTTTTTGTATAGAGAAATTTCGTATGATGTATGAAAAACAACCATTTTAAGAAACTTTATAACCTGAATATATGAATCAGTGTCAATATCTAAATGAATCTATATATAAGGTTATATTCGTTGTACATTTGCAGATATCTTATATCCGACTATTGTTTTTGCAGGAAATTTTCCTGCAAACTGTCATCTAGATATAAGTATAGCATAACCAGTCCAAAAAACTTCATGTATAAATGAGGTTATCGTTATATATTTAATAGCAAAATTTCATGAGGAAAATTTTTTGATCTGTTTCATTTCATTTGATCCTAATTGGTCTGCGAATTTTTTAGATTAGTGATTTTAACGGTTACCGCTGCTACTGTCAGATCGCCAGGTTAAAATAAATGTGAATCCAATTTACCTACTTAATACTTTTTATTAACAATTTTTAACCAAGACCCTCAAAAAAAGTATCCAAAAAAATTTACCACTGCACATTATTTTCACCATTTTATTTAATTTGATTTCTTTTAAATCTTTCACAATAAATACTATAATTTTGTTATGAAATATTATCTCATTATTCTTTCATGCTTAAAATTTTCAAACGAATGTCATATCAATATAATATATAACTTTTTCTAATTCTTTTTCTGCTGCAGTTTTATAATATTCAAATGCCTTTTCTTCATCAACTTTAGTCCCTATTCCATACGAATAACAATTACCAACTTCTTTGCAAGCATCAATATTGCCATTGTTAGCAGATTTTTGATATATTTCGAGCGCTATTTCCTCATTTATCTCAGTTCCTATTCCATTACGATAACAATAAGCAAGTTCGAATTGCCCTTTAGGAAACTCTTTTTCTGCTGATTTTTGATAACATTCAAATGCTTTTTCTTGATCAATTTCATTTGCTGCACCAATTTCATACATATGTCCAAGAGCATAATATGCTTTAGCATATCCACCACAAGCTGATAATTGAAATAATTCAAAAGCTTTATTTACATCTTTTTTAGTTCCTTCTCCAAGCAAATATGAAAATCCAAAATGATAATTTCCTATAGGAAATCCTCCTTCCGATGCTTTTTTAAAACATTCTAATGCCTTTTCATGATTTATTTCAGTTGCTACTCCGTATGTATAACAAATACCAAGTGAATTATATGATAATTCATTTCCATTTTTTGCAGATTTTTCAAAATATTCAAAAGCTTTTTTTAAATCTCTTTCAACCCATATTCCATAAAAATAACAATCTGCGAGAATGTATTGAACTATGGGATTATTATGATAATTATTTAAACACCAAATAATTATATTTATTGGGTTCTGTTGTTTCATTATAATAAATTTATTCATCTTATCATAAATAGTCTTAGTACGAGTTCCTTTCATAGTTTCATCATATAACAGGTTACATAATTCTTCAACAATATTTTTGACATTTATCTGCGACATCCCGGTGTCTGTTGAAATTAATAATATTAAAACTTGCAATAAAAATGAAAATAAAAAATTATGAAATGAGAGGTAAAAAAAAGAAGAAAAAAAACAAATTCACATTAGTAATTGAAAATTACCCAATTTGCAATATCTGTGTTTAACATACGTACGATACATCATACAGTAAATACTGTGACCACTAGCAGTGTAACGTATCTCAAAATATTGTAACTTTACTAGATATGTAAAGATTGATATTGCTAATATGCTAATAAATATTACAAAAGAAAAATATATATTACGAAAATTTTGTAACATTGACCAATGTAAAGCCGAAAATTTTTATAACCATGGTATAGTCACGAAAATGAGATTAGTATAGTCTGAGATGAACAGATAGTATTTAAATCGGCAATACTAACGAGCACAAAAGTCTTGGACGCTGATATAAATATGGATTTTTGCAGCTAAGAATTAAGAGAGATATTCCAAGGTATTTGAAATTTGCTGAAAGTAGAATATATACAATAACCCTGGACTTGGTTATTAACACAGAATTGGAGTTGCAAAAAAAACAAAAAAAAAACATTTTAATTGTACTTAAAGTCAGCTGAAAGTGGAAATAGTAAAATATTAAATAACATTGAAGTTTGCGAAGAGTGAAAAAAAGGCATTTAGTCATACATAAAACCTGCTAAAAATGGTAATAGTCTGTATGAATACGGAATTAACACAATCAAAAATGAGTGAAAGTATTTCATTGGTATTTAAAGTCTGCTGAAAATAGAGGGCCCGCCATTATCAACTTGAAATTGATTCAATACAAGACGAAAAAAAGCATTCCAAAATCGCTAAAAAGATATGGTTTAATTTTGAAATTGATACTTACTTGGAATAATTTCATTAGAGAATGATCAAAAGACATTTCAATGGTATTTGAAGTATCAATAGGCATCCCTATTGCTATATATCGCTTTCGATTTGGCTCCAAAAGAGATCAATAGACATTAAATCAGAATAGTATTATTCGGATTAATACTTGAGCAGGTCGAAATTAATACTATCAGTATAATATTTATATAAAATCAGTAGTTCAATATTGGGCTGATAGGCTGTAGTTTAAGAAATATCAGCCAATATCAACTATTAGATCTAATTTTTTTACTTGTGTATAACTTGTTATTAGGATGGAATCGGCACGCATGAAATGAACAGAAAGCGTTCCATGTTATGCGAAGTCAATAACAAATAAAAATAATTTTCAAAAAGGTTTTATAACACATTATTTCACTTGTTCACAGGTTATGATCAATTTGTTAATATTGAATATATAGATAAAGGTGTATTTGGAAAGTGTTCAAGGCAATTTGGATAAAGCATTAAAGTATCTTAATAATTTTAAAGATATGACAATAAACCTTTTTAAAAGGGTAAATTTGATTTTATTAATTAAGAAACCTCCAATCAAATTTCTTAGCATCAATTTTATTATACGTTAATGGCATAATTATTGATCTAAAATTAAATAATCATATTTATTAAGGACGGTTACGGTCGGTCATTGTCAGCAATTCAGTTATTGCATATTGTAGGTTATAGTTGACTTTTAATGTATACCACTACTAAACAGTAGGTTAAAAGTCTTTGGTTATAAGTGCCAATAACCATATATTGACAACTAATTGGAATACACTATTTCAAGAGCTTAAAGAAAGTTTTAGCCAAATTACTTGGGAATCAAGTTAAAAAGACAGCGTAAAATATTTATTAAGTAACTATTTTGAATATGTGACTAAATATTCGAACATTCAATAAATATTCAACGAGTTTGTTCAATTGATATCTTTATCGATGATGTATATCAGAATCCCGACACTCAAAACACTGATACATGGAATCCCGATACTACTCAAAATACCGAAACACAGAATATCTATTATTCTCGCTCGGATCAATTTATTGAATTAATGAAAACACACAATGGGAGTTGTGCCGTGCTGCGGCTCTTTTATACCCCATTGTTTTACATTTATATTTTACAGATTACTTGGTTTTATGCATATTTACGTATATTTTAACTATATGATCACGTGGCGAAAAAGAAGAGGATCGGGTACGTGTATGACATACCGCGATTTTTGTGACTAAAAATATTATTATTCTTCTTCTTTCTCTTTCTTTCTTCTTTTTTTACGAGTGTCAGGAAGCGGGTTACTAAGTGACACATCTATATGTTGGTAAGCACGTCCCTGAGCTATTCACTTCTTTCCTTTATATTTATATTTACACCATCGAACTGGTGTCGGCGTGTTGGTCACTTCTCAAACAGATACGTTGTGTAACCTACAAATGGCTTACTCGAAAGAGGCGGTTAGATTTGGATGAGTGGATAGTTTATGATCGTAGGTTTTATTAAAATGACAGTATGATATTATTATTAGGTGACAAATTTTATGGTAAGCATTAACAAACTACTTCTCATATAGGGCTCAAAACCTTTATTATATACTGTTATATTACATATACATTCTTTAAAGTACTAAATGTGTTAATTGTATTATCCTCTTTATATCTCCTTAATGTTTCTTATTACTTAAAACTCTTAATTCCTGTATATTCTATTAATTACTGTTTTCTCTTAAAACTTTATCATTCTTGTATTTGCTAATTGTTCTATATGATTTTTAGAAGCAATAATTCCAGAAAGCTCATATTAGATAAGTGATCATCATAGCCATTAATTGTTACTGTGTCACCATTAATCACCTCCTTTCATGTGCATGTTTCACAGCTTATAATATATTTTCCTTTCAATCATAATATCAATTTCTCATTTCTGTTATAATTTGTTTTCTCAATTTTACCTATTTTTTTATTTTTATTTTATTTTTGAATGGGTTGGATAGAAGTATTATAAAAGAGTCAGACCAAAGTCAGACAGCAAAGAAAAAAAATACTACTAATTTTTTTCTTATTTTTTATCCTTATATACTGTATTATTTTTTTCTTAATTTTTCTACCTTACATAATATCCTAACATATAAAAATTCATATAAAATTTATGTGAAGATCTATATGAAGATTTTTATGATAATAATTTTAGCATGATTATCATCATATCATACATCAGATTTTTATTTTCACTTGGATTAATTTATTGAATTAATAAAAATATACAATAAGAAAAAAAAAGTATTACAAAAATAAACAAAAATAATACCTATTATTATTATTTATTTTATTCTTTTTTTTTTATTTTTTATTTTTTTAAAATCTCATTTTTACAGATGCATATTGTTGTGCTATCAAAAATAACTGAAGATAAAGTTTTTACAGAGCTTGCAACTATCCACCTATACTCATAATCTGTAATAGTATTAACCCAGCTTTTATTGTACCAGTTGTACTACTGATGCATAGACTATGTTCTGAATATTTTCTTTTTAATCTAACATGATGCATTAACCTTTTTACTATTACATTTATTGTATCTATTGATATACACTTTTTTGCTACATTTACAAATAATAAATCTTAACTTTTAATTTTTTTTCTTGATTTTAAATATTTACAAATCAATTTCACAGAATAGTATGATAAATTTGTAGAATCTACTGGTATGAATTTTTCTTTCACAAATTGATCTATTTTTGATTTATTTATTCTAATTTAGAGAAATCTACTTTTTATCTTAATAACAGTTACCTGAAGGTTACAAAGTTCTGTAGATCTTCTCATTGTTTAAAATCTAAGTGCAACTAATATACAGTCTTTTTTTTAACTTTGTTTTGTAGCTTTTATAGGTAGATTGTTAATATAATTGTGCAAGGCTTCATACTACACTAAACTTGTGTAGTAGCATACTTCATATCCTAATTAATTCTCATACTCTTCTCATTATAACAATCAAACAAACATTGTAATAATCAATACCATTAACCAGAAAATATAAACTATACAACTCCTTACTAATCTACCTATTATATTTCTTATCTTGGTTAATATTAATATCAAAAAATTATTTACTACTAAAAACACAATAAAAAACTTTTGCAAAATATTATATTATGCTTAAGACAGAAAATAAACAAACAATTATACAACAAATTATTCAACATGTTTAAATATGTTACAACAATTTTACTTCAAACACAACAACTATAATAAACAATATAATTAAACATCAGATTAATCCATTACTATTCAATAATATAAAATTATATGACTCTATAATTACAAAGCCAAAAAAGATTTATTAATATATAAAAAAATATTTCACAAATTGAACTAAATACAATTTATACAATCCAATCCTTTGGGAACAATAGAAAAATAAATACAATTCTAAAACCAATATACTCTCTACATAGTATAATATATTAACAAATTCAATAACTCAATATAAAATAATTAGTACAATTAATATATTATCTAATAAAAAAGCAACAGGGCTCATACTTATCTTTAATAAAATGTTTAAATACACTCACTTTCATATCATCAAGCTTCTTACAATTTTGTTGAACAAATATTTAGATACTACAGAAATACCAACTACTTGGAAACTGACTAAAATATATCCAATCTTCAAAAAACCTATTTTTGCAAGTTAACTTAATTAAATCAGACTTATTATTCTCCTTGAACATACATGAAAAATCTTTACCAAAATTATTACCAACAGGCTTACTCAAATAATGTCCAAATATTCTATTCTTCATTCACATAACTTTGTTGCTTTACTATACTCCTTTACTACTCAACCTATACAAATTCTTACAAATATACTTTAAGAAACATATATACAAAACAAAGAAATCTGGTTTTTAGCTTAGGACATAAGTAAAGCATACAATTCTGTACATATCTCATTTCTTCAATATGCACTAAATCAAATAAAAATTTCTCTAAATATATCTCAACTTATAATAAACATCTACAATAACACTACAACTCAGTAATTACAAATCTTGGCCTCATATCTAGCTATTATGTTCAAGATGATATAGATCAAGAAAAACTATTACATTATTGCTCTAGTATTTATTATGATCCTTTAATTACTTATATTCACTTCAAATTTTATGACTATAATATGTTAATAACATTTTCATCTACCAAACAACTACTTATATACCATACCTTAGTTCTCATCTATATAGATGATACCTTATAGCTAGCTCTTGACAAACAAACTCTTTAACAAATTGTTAAAACAGCTAAATCTTTCTATAATATAGCAAACATTATAGTTAATTTTACAAAATTAATTCTTGCAACAAATTAAATCAAAAATCCAAATCCTATAGTCAACTTTACTAATACAACTATATATACTATATCTCTAAAACAAATTTTTTAATATTTAGGCTGCTGGTTCATACTCCTAAACTATTACAAATATATTTATAACCAGATTACTACTAAAGCTATCAATCTTATTAATACTATAAAAAACAAAAAGATTACTGAAAAACAAATAATCTATATATCAATAAAGTTAAAGGCATGGCCTTACTGTTAATATTTAAAAAAAAAAAAAATCTATATAGTTAATATGGTACTTGTACTTTGCTTCTTATACAGAACTATAAACACATTTATGTATCAATCTAGTATGCAAGATATAACTAACTTATATATACAAGTAGTAAAACACAAAGTTGAACTTGTCTTAACAATATCAAACTCTACTATATTTCATTAGCAAATTTACAACTTTTATAGCTTACTAGATATTCAAATACAAAACTATATCTCATTACTTTATATACAACTAAACAACTCTCTAATAGCTTCAGCTATCAAAATTATGCAGCATAACAGTTATATTATAAAGATATAATAAATTTTTTTTTAAAATTAAAGATTTATTATAAGAAAATTCTAAATATTAATGTTATTAAAAGTTATTGTAACAGTATTTTTATATACTTTACTATTAATATAAACTTTTTTGTACATTTTTTGCCAATATTCTAAAATAGTGCTTTATTATAATCTTTATTTATATTATATTTTTCATTTTTGTACATAATTTTAAACTTGTAATAAGTTAATTGTTATTTATGTTAGCTAAGTTTTCTAACAAATATTTTATTTTATTTAAATCAATTATGTTTTTTAATAACTTTTGGCATAAAAATACATTATATATTTGTAATTTATTAATACAAATTTTTTAAACCAAGTTAAAAATTTTCTAAGTTTGAATCTATTACAATTAATTTTTATTTTTTATTTCTTTTAATCTACTTTTTATCTATAAAATTGGTTTCAAAAATTTATATCTAGGAATAAATTTATTAATCTAGCATCAATAATATTCTGTTGACTTAAGATCACTTTTTAAATTATTAATTATTTTTAAAATTTGTTAATGATTAAAGGCTTTAAAGTCTAAATAAACAAATATAAGAAATTTTTAAACAGCATTCTTTTAAATTGATAATTTTTATTGATTACAAGCTGTAATATTTGTAAATTTGTTAATAGGCTTTAATTTATCAAATCTGTTAATTTTCTTGTTATTTCAATTTCTTTATTGCTATTTACAAATTAAGCATTAATACTGTATACATTTTATTTAATAACAAAAATATAATATACTTATATAGTTTTGAATTTTTCTATGAGCTTTTAGTATAATTAATCTTGCATTTATTCTTTAGTTTTTTACTTTAATATGCTTTATGATTTGATTCTATAAGGCCCTTTTTAACAATTTTTTTGAAATTCTGTTCAATATGATTTCTTTTTCCAGTTTCTTGATTTACTTCAATTATTTCTTTGGTATTAATTTTAATAATTTCTTCAATATCAGCTTCTGTATCTGTTCTAAGTTAATTATTAATTCGCTCTTTTAATTCTCTCTTTTATAAGATTATTTATTTTACATTGTCATTTCTTATCTTGAAAAAATATTAAAAAATCTGAAAAATTAAATGAGTATCCTAAAACTTCTTTTTGATTTTATAAAATATAACTATCATCAGTTCTTGAACTTTTTTTTAATCTTAACATCTCTTAAATGTTTATACAAATTTACAAATATTAATAATTTCTATTTATTTTTTAAAAAATTATTCTACAAATTAATGCTATTTTATATTGGCTTAAGTTTTATACTATTAATAACAATTTACTAATTAAATAACTTAATATAACTTTTTAAACATTATTGATATTAATAACTATTCTAAACTGCTATAAGGGTCAGTCAACAAATACTTTAATATAACTTCTTTTGCTAAGTAGTTTCTTTCTAGTATGATTAGCCAGTAAAAATCAATTTATATAGATATAATTATTTAATTTTTTGAAATAACATTAACTAATATTAATATTTCTGTGAATATAAAATATGTTTTAGTTAAATATAAATACAATATAAAAAAAACATACTACTTTATATTTCTTAGTTTTGGTTTTTTGTTTACAGCTTAGAGAAATCTAATACTGCTTTAAAGCAAATTGGTATTAAATAAAAAGCATTTTAATATTATATTTTATATATTTTAAGTAAAAATTATGTTATTAAAACTTAATAAATATCTAAATTTTTGCAGGTTATTGTAATTTTACTTTATATATTTAATGTAAATATATAAAAAAATAAAATAACAGAACATTAATTTTATCTTCAAATTTTATATAAGCAAGTTTGTTTATTTATTCTTGATGCACAATAAAATTAAAAATATTAAAAAGTAATTGTATGTGTTCTATTGAATCTATCTATAATGCCTAAAATTGTTCATAAAAAAAAAACAAAAAAATGACTTGATATCAAAGAGAAAACATATAAAGTCTAATAATAGTAACTCTAAAAACAATCTAAAAAAATTTTTAGAAGAGCATACACAATTTTTACAAAAAGACAAAAAGCATGTTAAAAAGTTTTTTAGAATAAATAAAATTTAGAATGAAAATTTAAAAAAAAATTAAATAAATTACAGACAATAATTAATAAAAAAGAATCACTCAAGAATTAAATAAACTAATTTCAAATAACAACAAAAGAGAATATAAAGTTAATAAAAAGTTGCATACTAAAAACAAGAGTTTTTGATTTAGATTTAGAAATTAAAAAGTAAAATATTGACCTTAAACTTCAAATTGATAGTTTTAAACAAGATCTTTAGTATCAATCAATGCTTAATAATAGAAAACTAGAGAATCTTTAACATTATGTAAATATATTAGAGAGTTATAAAGAAATTTTTATAGGTAAATTACAAAAGAAAAGATAAATATAATTTGATCTAGTATGTATACTAAATTAGAATTAATAATAAACATCATGAATAAAATATTGTACTATGACAAAATTGAGACAAAAAGATATATTTGTAATATATAATAATAATAACAATTGCTTGAAAAGACAAAATATACTTATATATATAAGCAATAGCAATTTGTAAATAGATATAAAAGATTAAAAGAAAGTATTAATTTTGTTTTAATTAATATGTCAATTGCATAGGTAATAAAGTTTTCTCAGATATATCCTTGATTTTTCATTATATAAAACTAAAAAATTATTAAAATATTAATCAGACTAACCTATATTATCAGTATTTTCATATTTGTTTTGTGTATCAGTCATCAAATAGAATACTAATCTATAATAAAATATTAAACAATAAATAAAAATAAATAAAAATAAAATAATAAATAAAAAGGTTTACCTATATTACTAATATTTTTATATATGTTATTTTTTTAATAGACTGATATTAAAGTTTCTATATAAAAGAGGTAAAATAAATATATAATAAGTAATAAAATTTAATATAATAGTTAACTTTTTTTTTTTTGAATATCCCTGTTGCTTTAGCAACTAGGGGTGCAGATGGCACTCTTTATTAAAATATTATTATATTAAAGTATTACAAACAGCCTATATACATTTTAAATATTTACAAATTAGTTTGGCAGTTTTAGGTCTATGACCTAGTGAATTGTGTTTTAAAACACGTATTTCCTTTGAAATATGGGCTTTAATTAGTATACCAAGTGAGCTTAAAGGAGTATCAGAGCTTTCCCATTTTAATGAAGTGTATCAACACCAAATTTCATAAATTATATTGATATGTAGCCAAGTTATAGTAGTTAGTGCTTGAGCACAATCGAAATTAGAAGTTTGAAAAACATTTTCTAAAGTAGTTAGTAGAGGTATTTCTTCACCAAGGTTAAGAAACTTATAAGCCTCTTTCCAGATTATTATACTTCTAGGACACTCGAGC